CCCAGAGGGCACAACAGCCCCTCCAGCAGTCCCGCTGCTCTCACCTGTCGCCGCCTCTCCTCTGCTAGCTTTTGCTGCTGCACTTCTTCCTCTTTCTTCTTCTTCCTCTCTCGTTCTTCCTTCTTCTTGCGCTCCTTCTCCTGGTCTGCACGCAAGGATGCCAGATACGCCTCGTCCTGCTGCTGCCTCAGGACTTGGGTTTGGTTCCTCTCTTCCCTGCAGTCAGGAGTGGGGAATGGTCAGGGCTAGCAGCCCCTAAAGTGAGGGCTTGGTGGGCTGAGGGCAGACCTGAAGGTGCAGGGACACCTCAGACTAGCAGGAGCACACACATCAGGGAATGCCTCAGAGTACCATGAGCTCCCAAAAGGCAAGTCGGGTCTCCACAGTCCCCAGCACACAAACTGCTTCCCTGGGTTGGGTGGAACTCAGCTCAAAAGGCTTCTCAGCCACTGCAGCTCGACAGAGCAGACAGACAACACCTAAGCAGTGCCCGGGATTTCTGCCTCATACTTGAGATTCTTCTCAATTTCATCCCCTTCAGATAATTCCTTGCATGTTTCAGAAACCAGAATGTTACTGGGTCCCCACAGCGACTGGGGGCAGAGGAGGGCACACAGGGATGTGGAGGCTGGGTACACAGTAGGATCCCACCTTGTGGCCTTAGCACAGCCAGTCTGGGCAGCAGCACACACTCCCTGAGCAGCTATGGACATCAGCTCTCCTGTCTGCAATGCCTTTGATCCTACTTGGATCCTATGGCTACACTCCAAGCCTTCCCTGCAATGCTCCAGCATGCCAAGGGTGTGCTCCAACCGCAGAGAACAGAGCACTCCCACCCACCTTTCAGTGATGGGACTGTATATGCAACACATCTGGAACCCTGGATATAGGGTGGCCTGAATTTATGGATGATCCCACTGGGAATAGGAGACCCTGTGGGCTGTGTTACAGAACAGGAGACACTGAGCTATGTGCCTACATATGGCGCCTCGAGAGAGGAAGGGGAGGGAGCAGAGCCTGTGCCTCCACAGGGTCCACGTTCCTGGAGCTCGTGTGCCAACCTACCGTTCCAGGCGTTCCGACACCAGGTAGGTCTGGTTGGCATCCATGATGAACATCAGCTGATTGATGAGGTCATCAGCCTGGATGAGACCTTCCAGCCTCCCGACCACCGTCATCCTGCGATCCTTCAGCATGATCACAGCCAGGAATGGGTACGTGTTCTCCCGCAGAGCCTGGGACACTGCAAACAGGGACACACTCACTGCCCCATCCACAGGGGGCACAGCACAAAGGCTTCCAAAAGGGCCTAGGAAAGCACCTCCCACAGGCACTCTCTTTTCCGAGGCAGAAAAGGTTCTGTTTTGCCAAACTAAACCCTATCAATTAGCAAAGGGAGGAAGTGGCTTGGAGCACAGACTGCAGGGGGAAAATAAGCTTTCAAGTAACCAAAAAGGCTCTTGAATTCAAGCAGGAAGGAAATAAATGGCTCTGAATGTCCATTCAGAAGAGGATAAAGCCATGGGTTTAAACTGCAGGAAGAGAAACACAGGTCAGGCACAAGGAAACACTTGTTAAGGTGATTAGGGATGGGCTCTGGAAGATGCTGTTGTGGGGAAGGTTGGGCAGAGTGTCCATTCTAGGCTTTTCTGAACAAACTCAGGTTGGTTTTGCTGGATGCAGGCTCTGCCTGAGGCACGGAATGCTAGCTGGATACTCGTTTCTGCACTCAGTTTATCCCCAGCACACACACACACACAACTCCCACTGACAAGGCACTGAGAGCAGCCTGAGTGCCTGCAGCAAACAGCACACAACTCAGACTGCCCAGAAACACACAGGACCGTGAAGAGCAGAATGTATCTCCCTGGTGTCCCAACAGTCTCTCTGAGACATCCCATGGAAACCAAGCACTTATTTCCCCATGCAATCCTGAAATCTCCTGTCTGCTTGCACAAAACTCAAATGTTTCACACATGTAAATTTACAAAAGAGCCTTTGGCTTGTTCCAGAGACATACAGGCACAGGTAAAGCCCAGGAGGGACACACTCACCTCTGTATCCCTCTGGTTTATTGGTTGAACAAGCCCAGAAGAGCATCCTAGTGTTGATGAGGGTGATGACCTCAGGTGCACACAGTGTATTGCTAGGAGAAGAGAAGACATCATGTGAGTGAAGCTGCATTTCAAATGCAAACACAACTGTTTGTAAAACTGCCCTACCTACCGGCAGAACTCATCTGTGTCTTGGTGGTCATCTCCGTGAAGATAAACCAACAGGAAGCGCAGCTCCCGCTTGGCATCGTTCAGTGCCTTGGCAGAAGAGCAGAGGAGGTAAAGTTACAGGGTCTGCAGGCAAGGGGAAAGCAGCACCCACAAGACTTGTGTGACCTGGGCCATTCCTCTGCCACTAGTGTGGTTTCAGGGAAGCAGCAGTGGAGGATGAACCTGTCAGACCTCCTGAATAAAGCCTCCTTTGAGAGGGTTACAATGGTGCTCTTTCACACCCTCTCACCATGTGGCTGTGGAGAACACTGAACTCGGAGTGAAGCCAACAGGTATGCAACCACACAACTGACACCTCAGCTGCCTCATCAGGCTCGGCTGGCAGTGAGGAGCCCTCCTTCACCCCTCACACCCACAGCAGCCAAGGCTGAGCTTTCCACTCCAGCCTGCACAGGATACAATCTTCAGATCACAGCAAATGAAAATGCTACTAAGAAAGGTAACTTGATATTGCTGCAGGTCTCAACAAAACAAACAACAAAGAAAAAAAAATCCCTCCCTTTCTGCATCTGCAGTCTCTGTATTCCACCCACTCAAGAGCATTTCTTAACAAGAACACAGGGTAAGTGCACAATAAGCTCCCTGTTTTACTGGCACTGGGTTTTGGTAGCCTAACCATTCCAGGGTTATTTAAGTTTGGATTCCAGGCAAGACAGAGGAGCCTAGAGGAGCTGTGGAGGCGGTGAACTCCATCACTGTGCAGTGTGGAGCAGACACAGACTGCACATTCTTCCCTGGCACTTGGGAAGCAGTGCTGATTCAACTGTCTTCTGGATGCACTGCAGGAGGTCCTTCTCTTGGCTGAGAGGAGCTGTGGAAGAGGCAGTGTCCATGGGGACAAAACCCTCTTCTACAGAAAGCACCCTCAGATCTGACATTTGGGAACTCTTTCACCCGCCATATTTCTTAGGGGCTCCCTCTCAATTCTGAGGTCCTGCACCATTCTGGAGCAGCATTATGATACTAGCCCAGGCAGTGACTCTCAATTTGGAGAGCAGAAGGACAGACTCTGGCATACCACATCAGTTTATAAAAACAAAGGCAGGATTACAAAGAAAAGCTGTCGGCTACAGAGTCACACAGACGGTCGAGGAACAGTCAGAGCAGCTCTGCTTTCCAACTTTGCAGGCTTGGCAAATCACCAAGCCTGGCAGACACTGGTTTTCCAATACACTTGTTCACTAACTCCCCATTATCCTGTTGAGAGAGTTTGGGGACAAATGCTGGGCTTTCAGACGAGAAGCAATTTTGCCATGTAGGCCCTGATACCATCTGGCAAAACCCCCACTCTCCACCTCCCCAGGATCTATGCACCACCACGTGACACTGACCTGGCTGTAAGTTCCCTGGTAGAAGACAGGGTGTATCCTCCCATATTTTTCCTCAAACATGTGAATAAATGAAATAATGTCACCCACTGGGTCAGTGACCCGACTACGAGGATCGGGGCGTATGAAACGCAGAGCAAACCTAGGAAGGAAGCAAAGGACACTGGAAATTCAGCTCACTGACTTTCTGAAGAACAGGTTTTTCTTTTCCACAGTCACTGGGATTCATAAAGAGCGGAAAAAAAGTCACAGCTGAGACCATTGAACATTTGTAATCTCAACCTAAACTGTCACCTGTTCCAAACTGATACCATTGCTACAGAACCATCCCTTGGGGAAGTGTTATCTCATGCCAGGCATCAGCAAGGAGCCAAAATCTGTGATTAAACAGTTTCAACATCCTCTGAAGCATCAGGCATAAGCAACACCAACAGGATGAGTTTTGAGGAACTCAGTCAAAGATGGGCTGTTAAAAGCCACAGAATTTTGTCCAGATAACTTTGAAAGCTTCATTTCTGCTAATCCAGAACTAACAGTTCCAGGGCATAAACAGCTGCAGAAAGAGAACATTACACCAGGAGTCCAGTGAAACTGTAATTCCTCTGAGACTGAAAGACCTTCACTGCAAGGCAGATATCAGTGTGGTTTGCTTCTATTGATGCATGGAAGTTAAAAACATTTCCAAAGTTCAGTGCACGGGGAAAATGCCCAAACAGTGCAGATGTCCTGACTGCTGGCTATGTGCCACCTTTTTATCATCCCCTTTTCCCTCTATCAGTGCTGTAGGGAGGCAAAATTAATTAGCCCTTTGAGGCAGTAAAGGGAGAGGGAAGAACAATGGGGGGAAAAGCAGAGGTATTTAGTTTGGGTTTTGCCAACTAACACCCAGGGGTTAGGGCAGGTTAACCTGCAGCACAGCCCAATGGGACACAATTCTGATGTTAGTCCAAGAGTACTGGACAGTTGGACACTGTTTTGCAACCGCTTTGAGTGGCACTCAGGCTGTGAAATTAGAACTCCAATGAAATACTTCATTTACAGAGCTGCAAGATGCTCTTTTTTCTTTGCAATCAGATTTATTTCTTACTAAACAGTGTAGGCAATTTACAAGGCTACAGATGAGCAAACAAATGGAAAATCTGTCACGAGACTTAAGGATCCAAGTGACAGAGGTACAGGCAAATCTGAGCAGTCAACATGTGAGTCAGCACAAACAAGCACTTACCTAAATATATCAAGTAATGTGTAATAGGTAAATCGGAATGGAAGCATTATGAAGTAGTATCCCCATCCTAACAGGCCCTGCAATCACAAACAGAGAATTAGCAGTCTCCACCCCAGGAACAGGCTCAATGCAGCAAAGTGCCCACAAGCATCAGCCACATGTGGGAGTATCAGAGCTCCAACCATGGTAAAAGCAGCTCAGCAATAGTTCGTGGCTTCAGACATGTCAAATCAAATGTGACTAACGTGGTTCACTCAGGATTCGCTGTGACACATCTGAAAACTGGCCTGACTGTTCAAGCAGCAAGGCCTCTGCTCTGTACTAATTTCCTTAACTATACAAATTAACAGCACTGAGCCTTACAGGTGCTTGTGCAAATTCATTTGTGAAACATTAATGCAAGTAATTCTGTATTCAATTTAATACACATTTAAGAGGAGCTCTAAAAACATTATCACTGCCACATGGAGGGCCACTCCTTTGTTCCAATTCAACATACCAAAAGGCTTTGATACACTACAGCAAGACAGTGTATGACAAAAAAAATGTCCTAAGACCATGGAGAAAACCTCCACAGCAGCACCAGAGGCTGAGGGAATAGCTTGACACTTTGTTTTCAAAAAGAAGATAATAGCACACAAAGAAAACGATTCCTTTCCCTGCTTGCAAGTTATGTTGTTCAGGAAGAGTCACCCAAAAAACACGACAAAATCCACTGTAAGACAACTTGCCCTGGGCTGTGGCCTTGAGACAACGTAGCTGTAGATCCTGTGGTCGGCTGTATTGACCTGCAATGGCCGTGATGGAGGAGGATTGAAGACACTTGGGACACCCTCTTGCTCGTTCAGTCGGTCCTGCACAGCTGCCTTTGGCACAAGGAAGAGCAAAGGGAGGTGTCAGGCATTTAAGGATGGCAGGAAGTTATCTGGGGGGTTTTCATCTTATTTTCAGCGGTACCTCTATGTTCCAGTTGTGCTGCTCCAGTGTGTGGCGACATTGGTCCATGGACTCTATGCCAGTCAGGTCCTAAAGGAGAGGAAAACCAGATGAGTGCCAGGAAGTGCTGTATTTTTGCTGTTCTTTCTAACACATGAGCAGAGACAGGAGTTAACCACAATACATTATCACAGTGCTTGTTTTTTTTTAACTGCAACCCGAGCCAACCCAAATCTGTAAACACACAGGAGGCCACAAAGAGGCCTTTGCACTCTTCCAGCCTCAGACAAGTCTCACTGTGCCCAAGGTCTGTTACTACAACTGCACTCAGCACAGCCGAGGGTTTAAGACAACACTGACCACAGATTACACTCTGGAAGGATGCGCCTGGCCAATGCCCTCGAACATCACCTCCAGCTCAAAATACAGAGAAAGGACTTGTGAAAACCCAAAGCGACCATTATTTCGTGCACTGCTAGCACAGACTAAATACAGAATGAGGAGGCACTAGTGCAGCAGTGTTCCAGCAGCACAGGGGATCCTGGAGGAAAAGAAATCCTGCCCAACACAGGGAGCAAAACAGAAAATGCAGTCCAAACACACCAGCAATCCTCAAAGCTACTGGGCATGTTTGAACCCTGCACCAACCAGAATTTGTGCACAAGAGATCAAACAACTGTGTCCGTTGTTACAGGAAGCCACATCAACACCTCCTGCACAGAGACAAGCCTTTGCTGAAGTGAACATCCCTGCCCCGTGCCACAGCACATCTCCTGGCAGCACTTGCTGGGAGGCGTTAGGGCAGACACGTTCCTTGCTCCCTTTCAAGCCCCGGAGGCAACTCCCGACTGAACATTTAATGCACTGGACTGTTTTCTTACTGGAGAAGGCCAGCGCATCCACTCCCCTCCCTGCCCCCATTCACACATTCCACAAGCTATTTCCACCCGAGTAGCACTGTGGACAAATGCTCTATCCAATCTCTGGGCTCAGTTCAAACTTTTGAGCATTTCTTGGCTCCTTTCTCACCAAGTCTGCACAGATCACTACCTTCTCCACGATCTATTGCGCAGAAATCATGGTTTTATTTTGCTGCACAGAACCAAACAGGCTGTTTAAAGTGTTGCTAACTATGCGACTGCAGTAGCTCAGAAAAAAAACAACACACTTCAAGCCGCTGCCCAGTGGTGTATAAATATTTATTAAAACGTGAGTCTGCAGCAAGCCTTGCAAGGGAGCACTGCAGAACTGGATTTCATAGGAGAAACGAAGCTCAGTGAACTCAGCTGTTGCTGCCAGAATGCCCTGGATTATCACTCAGCTTCATGATTTAGTGCTTTGGTTTAGCTTTCTTTAAAGATGCACTCAGAGCAAAATTCCGGGTTTGTATTCTGAACTCCTACTCTTTTATTGCCTTTTAAAAAGGACATCATAAAAGGCACCTGCAATCTACTCAATCAATTGATTTTTACAACGGAGTCACAACAGCCTTGAAAAATCTTCTGATCGCCGATCCCTAACGCGCTGAAAATTCTAGTGGTGGCTGCAAAGTTTACAAGATTCAGCAGCTCATTCACACCTTTGTCTCTAAATGCCTGGATGATTGCTCAGCACTACCAACATGACTGAGCATTCCCTCCTGTTTCAATTATGCAAAACGCTTCGGCAGTTTTAGGTCAGAAAGCAGCAGAACGATCAACAAGCATTTAATGAGCACAGAATCACTGCAGCATTTGCAAGACCTGCTGAGCTCCGGAGACAGATTACAGCCAGCCAAGTTCACCCTTCCCGACCATCACCACAGCCACAGGCAGCTGCTGGGCAGATCTCAGTCTCCTCCTTGAGTTTCCCAGGGATGTGAATTTACTTTATCCCCCTTAGCATCTTAATTCATTGCTCTCAACACAGACCAGAAGTGACATAACCACCCCATGCAGCACTGGGGGTGAGTGCTCCCACTGCTCCTCTGATCAATGAAATTGCACAATTAAACACTGCAGGAAAAAAAAACCCTGCCCGTGCAAAGGCAGCTCTTAAAACTGAACACCTTGCTGACTGTTAGTGACATGATACACAGCTCCAAGACGTTGTGGGAGACACTCCAGGGTTCAGAACGACTCACACTCGATGTGAGGAACAACAGGATGACAGTTCAACTGTCAGTGTAGACAACTTGCTGGCAAACACTGATACTGGTCATTATCACCTCAACAACACTCCTGCTGCTGTCTCACGACCTTCTACGGCCACTGCAGATTCCTTAGTCATAGAAAGGGATCAGAAACTTTGACCACATTATTTCCACTGCAACAGTTAAGGGCGTTTTTGGTGAGAGAGAACAAAGTGTCTTCTAACCTTGCTGCTAGTTTCCTACTCGCTGTGGTCGCTTGTTCACTGCTTCAAAGTACACAGAACTTACAGAGACACAGTAAATAATCAAAAAGATAAAGTCCCTGTAGTTAAAGTTAGTCCCATTAAACCAGCACCCTCCAACCTTCGATTAAATCCAAGGTCAAATCCAAGTTCAAGTCAGTGGCTAAAATTCAGAAAACATTAAGCTCCACAAGTGCCAGAAAAGTTCAATACTGCCTTCTCAACCACCACCCAAAGCACAGTGCTATCCTAGAGCAGGAGACAATTATTTCTATCTCTCACCTGTGAGACTGCTCAGAATCTTCTCAATAGCGAAGCAGTGAGAGGCACAATTCCATGCTTGAAAAGTAGAAGGAATACCCCTGAGTGGACAAAGGTTGTAACTGGACTTACGAAACCGTTGTCTCTGCAGATCTGCTCTGATGTTGAAACAGCACAAGAGATGCAAATCCACGGGACTAACTGGCACTGCTCTTACTTCCCAACCCACTGCCAAATCCCAAAGAATTATGTTTCCAAGGGTAAAGAACATCTGACTTCGTGCAAAGAAAAAAGCCTTAAGCAAGAGTTTCTCTTTGCATATTACAGCAAATGCCTTTCTGAGGGTTTGATCGATGCACAATGCACTGAGTAGGAGATACCTGGAGTGTCATGTTTCCTCCTTCCCCTAAATCAGAGCTGTATCCAGACCTGAGCACTCCCTTTTCCCCAGCTGAAGCCAGAGATGGTATCATGAGTGCTAACTCCTTCCTCGGTGAATAACACTCCATTACTTTATAACATTAGCATATTATAGCATCAGACATGAGCCCAAGTGTAATGGGCACAGATCAATAACGCGATCCTGCAAAAAGCTGCTCTGCTGTTTCTTCCATCTCCCAAATGGAACAGTATCTCCACAGCTTTCCTAAGCTGTTCACATCCAATTTCTCTCTACAGCTGTCACGACAGTGAAAGCCTTGACAGAGGAGACATTTAGATGCTTTTATTCCTTTACATTAGCCAATGCTCCAGCAGCAAATGGGAGGCTGAAATGCAAGAGGCTTGGTCGCTTTCATTCCGAGTTTATCCCAGAGCTCTCTCTCTAGCGGGTTTTTTTACCTCATTAACCTGCCACAGCAGGGTGGCAGACAACTATTCCAGCCCTGCCCACCAGAAGGAAGCTGCTAGTTTCAGCATTCTGCCAGCAAAGCTGTTTGTGTGAGCACTGCCAGAACACAGCACGCACACACCCCAGTGGC